ATAAACTCTATTAGACTGAATAAAACATATGTCTCTCTAGCTCCTATGTTACACTATTAAAGCAAGATCCAAGACAACCATTGAAGTACTAGGCTTCGCCTCTTGTACCTGATATAATCCTACAAGTGGCAACCAATTCAGACATACACAATAACAATGAATAGGGAGTAGGAATACATTTCACCCATGTATAGCACATATAAGGAATAAGGGTAGCTAAACATACATACATCATAATTAATCTTTCACATACACTCGTTTATAGTCATCTCCACATCTAAGACGACACAACTCAACACATCAATTCAACTACACTCATTCATCATCATCAACAATCATTCATTTCATTTAAGATATCTCAATTACAAAGTGAGTATTCATGTAATGCATGCCCCAAACTCTACATATATATGATAGAAAGCTCCTTATTATCACCAACTCAAGGTAACTAAGGAGTCATGGAATGGGATAACCCTGCCTTAGGTGATTGGAATGGGACCATCCCACCATGAGTTCGACCTTCTAATTTCCTCCAAAAGTGACTTGTCCATCAAATTTAGGTTTAAGGCTTTGGAACCTACAATTTTTTCTTGTCATGTGAAGTATGTACCATGATTGGACTCTCTTTCCTATTATTAAGGATGTTTTAAACAAGAATGGTTTTATTTTTAGCTACCCAAACAAACTTATGTACTTTCATATAATTTTGAAGACATTGTAACTTTGCCTTACTAACAAATACATGGCTTGTTCACTCAACAATATCACTACTTCTAGCATAATGAATTTATTATTTTTTTTTGTTGAATCCTTTAATTAGTTTGTTAGATAATTTGTTAAATCAATATTTTTTTCATGTTTAAGAATTGATATATTCTATTTACAAAATATATTTAACTTTTTAATTTTTATATATAATTTAAAACATTTTAATATTTTGATATTTCATTTTTTATTCCTTTTTCCATTTTAAAAAAAAATCCTTTTAAAAATCGATTCTACACCCAAATATCAATTTAAAATCAGTTTAGCAATAATTGGTTTAAAATTGTTTTCCTTTTTGTACTTAAACCACATTTGAACTGGTTTATTATTGGTTCGTTATGTATACTTTTCTTGTCCCGCTATAGTTTTTACATTGAAAATATTATAAAATGCATGATATTTTTACTTTTTAATGTAATAATTATTATTTATTTAATTTATCTATTCATAAATTATTCGATCACTACGATTAAAAGTAATGAATTTATTAAATTATTTTAATAAAATTATATCAAAAGTGATATATTTATTATTATTTCTAATATGTATGTGAAAATTTTAAATTATAATCATTATTTAACAGAGGGAATAAAAATAAATAAATTAGTTTGGATTAAAAAAATTGATTAAAAAAGTAGTTTAATTTAGTTTGGTTTCATGCACAACCATTCTCAAAACAAACATATAATTTTTTTTAAAAAAAATTATTAAATTAGGTGATATAAAATAATTAAGATAGTTAATATCATAAATATTAAAATAATACTGTAATAAAAAATAAATAAAAATTATACACTGATAATTTTGTAATGTCATTTATGAAGTGTCATTTAATCATAAATTAACTGTCTTGGATAATTTTTTGAGCATTATATTTAACCTTATAATAATGTATTGTATAAATAAGAATATCACCTTTTGAAAATGAAATCTAACTTTCATCGCCCTAGGTCAAGAAACGTGGGATAACATAGAGGTGACGATGCATGACGCTTATTCCATGCATTTTCGTCAAAGACGATCACATAATTGGGAGTAATTACTTAGAACTTGACATCATCAATCAATTCACTGTAATACACTCTGTACTATACCATGATTCATGAGAATATAGGACCCTATTATACATTAAATATTATTTTCATATTAAAATTTCATCTCTGTTTTGAACTTCTAATATAACTTTTATATGATTACTTTTAGCTTCCTATGCATTTTAATATTCGTGTAAAACTTTTCCTCTAAAATGAGGAGAAGTGTGAAAATTTTCACTTTTTAAATAAATAGAAGACCAATTATGTATAATATATAAATTCTAATAATAAAAATAATTTTATTTATTATTTATAAATAATTTTTTATAAAAATTAAAATTTCAACAC